AAGGAGCCAAGAATATACAATGGGGCAAGGACAGTCTCTTCAATAAATGGTGTTGGAAAAACTGGACAGCCACATGCAGAAGACTAAAATTGGACCACTATCTTACACCATACACAAAAATTAACACAAAATGGATTAAAGATTTGAACATAAGACCTGAAACCATAAAACTCCTGGAAGAAAACATAAGTAGTAAGTTCTTTGACATTCATCTTCATGATGATCTTTTGGATTTGACATCAAAAGCACAGATAAACAAGTGGGACTACATCAAACTGAAGAGGTTCTCACAGTAAAGCAAACCATCAACAAAATGATAAGGCAACCTACTGAATGGGAGAAAATATTTGCAAATGATATATCTGATCAAGAGTTAATACCCAAAATATAGAAAGAACTCATACAACTCAATAGAAAGAAAATAATCCAATTAAATAATGGGAAAAGTACCTGAATAGACATTTTTCCAAAGAAGACAACAGGTACATGAAAAGGTGCTCAACATCACCAATCATCATGGAAATACACATCAAACCACCATGAGCTATCACCTCATACCTGTTAGAATGGCTGTTATCAAAAAGACAAGAAATAACAAGTGTCGGTGAGAATGTGGTGAAAAGGGAACCTTGTGCACTGTTGGTGGAAATGGAAATTCTTTTTGCCACTATGGAAAACATTATGAAGTTTTCTCAAAAAATTAAAACTAGAACTGCCATATAATCTAGCCATTCCACGTCTGGGTATTTACCAGAAGAAAATGAAAACATTAATTCCTAAAGATATCTGCACCTACCTTTCACTGCAGCTTTTTTTTTTACAGTAGCCAAGACATGGAAGCAATCTAAGTGTCCAACGATGGGTAAATGGATAAAGAAAACGTGGCATATATATACATATACACATAATGGAATATTATTCATCCACAAAAAGAATAAAAGCTTGCCATTTGTGACAACACTGATGGGCCTTGAGGGCATTATACTAAATGTAATAAGTCAGACCAGAGAAAGACAAACGACATATGATCTCACTTATATGTGGGATCCAAAAGACAAACAAACAAAAAACCCCTGAACTCTTAGGTACAGAGAATAGATTGGTGGTCGCCAGAGGTGAGGTGGGAGTGGGCAAAATAGGTGAAAGTGGTCAAACAGTACAAACTTCTAGTTATAAAATAAGTAAGTCCTAGGGATGTGATGTACAGCATGGTGACTATAGTTAATAATACTGTATTGTGTATTTGAAAGTTGCTAAGAGAGAAGATCTTAAAAGATCTCATCACAAGAAAAAAATTGTAACTATGTGTGGTGATGGATGTTAACTCGACTTATTTCACCATATTGTGAAGACTAATGTGAAGAATAATGGTGATTATTTCACAATATATTCAAATATCAAGTCATGTTGTACACCTGAAACTAATATAATGTTATGTGTCAATTATATCTCAATTAAAAATATATTTAAAAAGATCATGTCATCTGAGAACAGAGATAGCTTTACTTGTTTATTTCTGATTTGTATGCCTTGTATTTTTATTTTTTCATTTTTTTGCCTAATTTCTCTGGCTAGCACTTCCAGTACTAGGTTGAGTAGGAGAGGTGAGAGTGGGCATCCCTGTCTTGTTCTGGATATTAGAGAGAAAACTTTCAGCTTTGCGCTGTTGAGTTTGATGTTGTGGGTTTTTCATAAATGAACTTTGTTATGTTGAAGTAATTTCCATCTATTCCTGGTTTGTTGAGTTTTCTTGTTATAAGAGTGTTGAATTTTGTCAAATGTTTTTATGCATGTGGTTTCTGTCCTTCATTTTGTCAATGTGGTGTATTACATTAATTGATTTTCATATGATGAACCATTCTTGCATTCCAGGAATTAATCCTATTGTATTATACACAATTATGGCATACACAATAGTGTTTGATATAATTGTGTATAATACCTTAATATACCATTGAATTCAGAGTGCCAGTATTTTGTTTATGATTTTTGCATCAATATCCATCAGAGATTTTAGTCTGTAGCTTTCTTTCCTTTTAGTGACTTTGTCTGGCTTTGGAATTAAGTCAATGCTTGCCTCAGGCAAGCATTTGGAAGTTTGGAAGTGTTTCTTCCTCTTCAGTATTTTAGCAAGAGTTTCAGGAGAATTGTAGACAGTGGAGTTAATTCTTCTGTAAATGTGTGATAGAATTCTTTAGTAAAGCCATCTGGTCCTGAGCTTTTCTTTTCTGATAGGTTTTGATTACTGATTCAATCTTCCTACTTATTTTAGGTCTGTTCACTTTTTGTATTTCTTCATGATCTCATCTTGGTAGGTTATGTGTTTCTAGGAATTTGTCCATGTCTTGTAGATTATCCACTTTGTATTATAATCATTTTTTTCCTGTGACATCAGTTTTAATGTCCCTCTTTTCATTACAGATTTTGTTTGAGTCTTCATTCTTTTTCTTTTTTTCTTAATCTTGCTAAGGACTAGTCAATTTCATTGATCTTTTCAAAAACGAACTTTTGTTGATTTTTTCTATTTTCTATATCTCTGTTCTAATGTTTATTACTTCATTCCTTGTGCTAGTTTTAGGTTTTGTTTGTTGTTTTTCTAGTTTCTTGAGTCGTAAACTTAGGTTGTTGATTTGAGATCTTTTTTCTTTTTAATGCATTTAAAGCTATACACTTCTCTCTTAATAGTGCTTTGACTGTATCTCATAAGTTTTGGTATGTTGTGTTTTCCTTTTTGTTTGTCTGAGTATATTTTCTAATTTATTTTGTGTTTTTTTTCTTTCACCCATTGGTTGTTTAAGACTACATTATTGGGGCTGGCCCCATGGCTTAGTGGTTAAGTGTGTGTGCTCCGCTACTGGCGGCCCGGGTTCATATCCCTGGTGCGCACCAACGCACCACTTCTCTGGCCATGCTGAGGCTGCGTCCCACATACAGCAACTAGAAGGTTGTGCAGCTATGACATACAACTATCTACTGGGGCTTTGGGGGAAAAAAAGGAGGAGGATTGGCAATAGATGTTAGCTCAGAGCTGGTCTTCCTCAGCAAAAAGAGGAGGATTAGCATGGATGTTAGCTCAGGGCTGATCTTCCTCACACACACAAAAAAAGACTATGTTATTTAGTTTCCACATATTTGTAGTTTTTCTATTTTTCCTTCTGCTATTGATTTCTAGTTGATTTCATTTTGTTCAGCCTTTTTCTTAGTGTTTGGACAGGAATGATAACTTCCAAGCTCTTTGCATGCCAGAAAGAAACCAGAGGTCTGCTCCACTGTTTTTCAGAGTGCCCTTAGTCTTCTTTTTCTCTACCCTCTGTTGCAAATTAAGTTAGCTCTTCTGGGAAGATATTAGATGCTCTCTGTCTTATGGCCTGCTTCTCCCTCCAGGAAACATCTCTGAGGTAGGGCTTTGGAATTGGAGCTGGGGACATTGGAAAGGTTTTTTTCTGAGTGTCAGCCCACTCTAATAACTGAGTGCTCAGTGGGGAGAGGCAGCAGCTTGAGGTTCTTCCACCACCAGGAATGGAGCCACTGCCTCACATGTGGGGGCAAGGATGATCAAGGCCCCAGTCTTCTCCATGTGCTGTACCCAAGGTAGAGACTCTATTACACAAATGGGGCTTGAGAGGTAAAAGGGAGACTTTTCTCTCAACTGCACCTGCCAGAAACTTAGTCTCAGGGACAAATAGATGGGAACCGAACGAGAAATGCTTTACTGTCTTTCTCTTATTGTGGTATGAGGCAACACTGGATGACTAAATTCTTTATAAATTTCTTTTCTGCTAATAAATTCCTTCATGCTAATAAATATCTAAAATATCATATTATGCTTTGAAAGATAAACTTGGTAGTTAGATAGACTTAGATTTCAATCCTAGCTTCTCTACTTAAAACCATAAGATCCTGTACAATTCCTATCCTCTCTGAGGCTGTTAACTTATCTACACTATGGGATCACTGATACCTCTTTTGAGGTATAAATGCCAGAATCTTTGTGAAGTGCCTGACACATAGGGTCTAGAATGTAACACACAATCGATAAATATTAATTCCATTTCTTTCATTTCTCTTTTCTTATTTTTCATATCCCATTTATGATATCAAAAACTAAATAGACGTCTGAATTGAAAAGCTGACTAATGTAAAATTTTTATTTATTCTTCTGTGTTATATTTTCTTTAGATATTGTCTTAAAGATTTTGGCCCCTCCTATCTAACTGTACTTTTAGGAACTCGTATAGAATAATTTTTTATAAAAACCAGTTAATAGACTAAATACTGTTAATTATTAAATATTTAACATAATATTTACCCCAGATATTTCCTGTATATTAATGCTTCTATTCAGATAGAAAATCTATATAACTTCTGACAAATAATGAATCTATCTTGCATATTTCTGCTTCTGTATCCTGTTTAAAACCTTATCCTTACCTATGATTGCCCTTCCTACTTTGCTTATCATCTTCCCAAGTCTTTCTTGGGTTGCACTCCATTTTTCAGACTGCCCCTGACTCTCACCACCCAGAGTGAAATTTTAATTATATTTAGAATTTATTGACATTTGTAGTACTATTTATTAGTACTATAGTAACTATAGTTACTATAGTTATAATTATTCTCAATACTTTTGTCTTTTAACTTTTATATTGGAGTTAAAAGTTACTTGCATATCATTTCTTTGACATTATCTTTGTGTTTTAGGGTAAAGAGAACATGAGAAAAACATGTCTACTAAAAATCTTTTTTCTTTGTATTCCCTACAGCAGAATGCTTTGCTTTGGCTCTACTCAGTAGATAATTTTTAATTGTGTGCATGGCCTGACACAGATGGTTGCATAAATCCATTTATTGCCAAGTCATAAAATCTGAGGCAGGGTATATCCTTTGCTTGAATAAATTTATTATGATATTTTTGTCTCTGTTATTTTCATAACAGAAGAGCAACAAAGTAAGCCATATTCGTTTAAGGGAACATGATTAAAATTATTCTTACTTTCTAGGGACACTTACCTTTTGCTGTAGTAGGGAGTACGGATGAAGTGAAAGTTGGAAAAAGGATGGTCAGAGGCCGTCAGTACCCTTGGGGAGTTTTACAAGGTAAATATGATGAAAGTGAGCAGGCTTGCTCTGGAATAATTTTATATATATATAGTCTCGTAGTCTCAAAATATCATTTTAACTTGAGCCAATATTGGTAACTCTCACCAAACATTAAATTAACAGTTACTAATAAGAAGCACATATTCTGTTGCACTTAAGTTAATGCTTACTTTGACTATGATTCATTCTCATAGGAATTTGCTGGATGGTGCTTTAGGCAAAAATCCACAGAGGCTGAGCAGAACTTCTTCATTTACCCTAATCTACCGTATGCATATTATTTCTGTATACATACACCATCACATTCAGAATGTTGGAAAGTGCTTTGAACAAAAGAACTTTGAACAACACTGAAGCATAAATACTAGTGTTTAAAATATGTTACATAAATTAACTACTACCTAATTTATAAAGCATTTTTAAATAGTCCCTAGGAAAAGGGATGGTAAACTATTTTTAAAATAAAGAAATATAATTTACCTTTGGATAAATTATACCTAGACACTTAAATTAATTATCTAGTATCCTAATCAGTTGGAATATTGTAGTAGGCAGTCATTTATCGTCTGGTTCATATACTTGTGATACTAATTATTGGGAATTGGATTATCTCTACCCATACTAGTTTCTAAAAGTTGTTTTTTTAACTGATATATTAGAAATTCTTAAATTTATGAACCAAATTAAAAACATATTTTAATGAATATTAAAATTTGGTTACAGTATCTTACACAATAAACAATATATTGTGCTCAGTTTTCTGGATATGACAAACATAGGAGAGAGCCATGTGAATTTATTGATTGATTTTGAATATTGACTATTTAAGTCTCATGGTGTATAAATAAAATTTGATAATAAAAGCATGCACAATTGTTAAGGCCTTCATGTTAGCAGGATTTAGTTTAATGAAATTATTTACTTTAGTAAAACTATTACATTCTCTACTAACACTCTGTGAAATACCTTGAGAGTAGTTTGTAAAATGCTAATTTTAAAATTATTTGTTAATGAAATAATATATTATTAAATGTATTTAACATAGTATTAAATATAAAATGAAATAATAATAATTATTTTACGATAATTATTAATGAAAACCTACACCACATATTAATATAATATAATGTTATTTCACTGTTTCATATTTATTCTTTGGCTAATAAATTTAAAGCAAATTTCCTGGTCTATAAATACACTGTGCCTATAATTGGTATGTACAACCATAGTCCCATGATTAAAAAAAATTATAACTATTAACCAGAATGATCTCTTAGCTGTTATTTTAAATGTGTTTTTTATGCATGCATGCATTCAAGAATACTTATTGAGCGCCAGGGGTTGATAATGAGTGTTGTGGCTTTATTATTTTTTTGCCTAGTGGAAAATGAAAATCACTCCGACTTTGTTAAGCTCCGGGATATTCTTCTTAATACAAATATGGAAGACCTGAAAGAACAAACCCACACTTGGCACTATGAACATTATAGGTGCTGCAAACTGCAGAAAATGGGCTTTACCGATGTGGGCCCAGACAACCAGCCAGTTAGGTGAGTGGAGATCTTGCTAGAAAACGGTAATGTGTGATTTAGAAATCCCCTACAACGAGATACAATAATTTGGAAATGAGAATCACTACTTTTCACATCCTGGGCCATCCTGAATTTTATGTTTTTTAATCATCTTCAGACTTAGATGGAGAGAGTTAGTAGGAGCAACATAATGCAAGGGCTCATTTATATGCTGAAATGTGTGTATATGCTGAAATGTGTATCCAAAAGAAAAACATTGTTTCTATTTTTGTGTTTTATATGAAACAGAAGCTCAGGAAGGAGGTTTGCAAATATTAGCAAAGATTGACAAATGACGGCAAAGGATATTGAGAAGGATGGCAAAAGATAGTGAGGACTGGATGGAGGATTGGATTGAGGAAAGAGAAGACATGGAAGTCAGCTGAAAATAGTTTTAGGGTGGGTGTATTTAGCTATATTGGAAAGGAATAGGATTTGTGCTGCAAAAGTATGACAGTGTAGTATAATCCAGTTATATCAGTTATGGTACTTGGAAGACAACCAACATTGAACTGGCTGTCTTAAATAAATCATGTTTTGAAAGATGCCTGGCTTTATTTTAAGTATTTTGAGAACTTTACAATTTAGAAGTTTCCCCAAATTTTATTGTCAAAAGATGTGAAGACGTGATAAGTGGTGGCGATGAGAAACCACTAATGTAAGTGTTTCAAAATTCTAGTATTCTTTTTATATATTTTCTATATACTCATACTTAATATTGTACCTCACTTTTTTACATCTAATGACATAGAAAGAATATTGGAAAATGTCTTTATATGGGACGTAACGTACAATATACATTTTTACATGTTTATTTATATTAAAATTGTAATATGACAGTAATAAAAATTACTTTTTAGTTTTCAAGAAATCTATGAAGCCAAAAGACAGGAGTTCTCTGATCAATGTCAGAGGGAAGAAGAAGAGTTGAAACAGAAGTTTATGCAGCGAGTAAAGGAGAAAGAAACAACATTCAAAGAAGCTGAAAAAGAGGCAAGTACTGCTAGTTTAATATAATCTGTATTCATTTTTAGATGTCCTATTGATCTGAGGATTTTAATCTCAAGGGTTTAGTTGATGGTATTCTTCAAAAAATAGCTATTTACCATATAGGCTTTGAATACAACCTTTAAAAAAATCTGTAATTTTATTTTTTATAAAGAATTTGGAGAATTTTTTTTAAATAACCCTTAAAATAATTTTTTTTAACTTTTTAACCTTTATTTTATTTATAATTTGAGTTTTTATGCATAAAGTTTAATTTATAACAAGTTTAAGCTATTGACTTCTGTAAAGAGTCGTGGAATTTCTAACGCTACCACTGCATTGGAAAATTTTCTTCACTTTTATAAATAAGCAGGTAAATATTGACTAGTGCAAGCCTTGAGTAATTACAGAACTTTTAGTTGGTGACTTATGTGGCTGCCTTTTTTATTTCATTCCAATCTGTTTCCAAAGAAATGGAAAAAGAGGCTACCAATATAGTTTTGATTATTTGCCACAATACATTTTTGACAAAGGAATATATTTGCAATCATAAATATCTTTCTCTCAAGTGCATCTGGTTTCAACTTAAGAACATTTAGTTTTAGCAGGTAAATTGGAACATAAACGTCCTTTTCCATAGAAAAAATATAATGACTAGGTGCTGTGAACCAGATGTCTCAGTCAGGGACAACTGAACAATAAGTAATAGAAATTTCTTTAGCTTAGGTATAAAGGAAGGTATTTTGGAAGTATTCAAGGGTATGTCATGGCATCCAAGATCAGAAAACATAGCTGGATCTCTTGAGGACTTCAACCCAGAGTAGGAAGTGACCAGAAACCAAATCAACCATTTAAATTTTCCATTTCTCCCCTACCTCATTCCCCTTAGTTATGATACTTATTTCTGTACATCTGCTTTAATTTTGCTCTCTGGAGATCAGTTTTTCTCCCATTCCTCAATCATATGTCCTCTCAGGGAGAACCAACCACAGCCTAAAATTGCTTGTGCAAAGTTGGGAGTAGCAGAGTTTCATAACAGGGTTTAATAATGCCTGTGAAAAGAAGTGAATGAATTTCTGGTAGAAATAAAACAACCAAGATTCTAAAGGCATCGATACAGAACAAAGTGACAGGGAAACAGGCCATCTGGCGTGTTCTGAAAAGGAACAACTTAATTATTTAAAATGTGATAAGTAAACAATAATTCTGATTAACTGACAAGGAAAGTGGAGGATCACAGAGGTTAAAGTAAACTTTCTAATCACACCTAGCAGATGGATTAGCCAAAATTCAAACTTACATCTTTAAAATTTTCAAATACTTAAAAACTGTTAAGTTTGTATGTATCCCACACTGTTAGAGAGTTTGGTATCTTTTTATATTTTAATCTATTGCTTGTATTTTTTCAGAGAATCGCCAGTCTGTTTATAGTGTTTCCATTAGTCTTTCTCCTATTAATCTATAATTCTTTATATATTGTAGAGAGTGCTCGTTTTATAAATATTTGCAATATTTCTCTTAATGTCTCCTGTCTTTCAGCTTTATTTACAATGTCCTTTGTTCAATAGAAATTTTATACCTCGATATGGTCAAAATGTACTAGTCTTGTCATTTATAACCTTTGCATTTTTTCTATTGCCTAAGAAGGCTTTACTTACTTGAAGGGTAAAAATGTATATTCTTATGTTTTCTTCTAATATTTTTATAGATTTGTTTTTTACATTTGGGATTTAGTTTTGTATTTTTTCTTACAGATTGGTAGCCAATCATACAAGTATCGTTTGAGTAGTCCATCCTCTCTAGTGGATTTGAAATGCTACATATCATAGTATAGCATTAAATTTCTATAGGTGGTTTATTTCTGGACCCTCTTTTCTGTTTCATGGATATATATTTTTTATTCTGTTTTAGTGCAACTGAATTTTAATTATCACAGCTTTACAAGTTTGTTTTGCTACCTATTAAGGCAAGTCTCTCCTCTCATCTTCCAGTGTTGCCAAATTTTCTTGGCTATCCTTGCATATTATGTTTTTCAGATTTTAGGTCTATTATCAAGTTCCTTAAAAGATCCTGTTGGATTTTGATTGAGATTGCACTGACTTGATAGGCTAATTTCCATAGAATAACATCTTTACCAATATTGTGACTTACCACAGGGATACTATATTCATCTCTATTTATTTAGGATACACTTTCATGTTCCTCAGAAAAATTATTTAGAATGTATATAGGTCTTTCTCATATTTTGTTAAGGTTATTCTTAGCATCTTTAAAGTTATCCTTGCTATTACAAACGGAACAGGCTTTTCTTTTTTATATTGAAATTGATTATTTCAAGAGAGCAGGAAAGTTTTTTATTTTTATTAGTCCTAACAGTTTTCAATTATTTTGTTATTTATTTACATAATCATATTATTCACAAATTAGTGACACTTCTATGTTTTTGTAACCAATATTTATATTGCTTATTTATTTTTCTTATTCTATTGCATAGGTTGTGACTTCAAGGAGAATAGAGCCCAGGCTGGGGTTTTTTGCTGACTTATTAGAAATATTTTTAATATTTCACCATAAAGTATGATGTAGTCTGGTGGATGTTTTTCCCATATTAAGATATTTTTTATCCTATTCTCAGTATAAACTGACATTTTATATCTACTAAGATGATAATTTTCTCTTTTAATATGTAAATATCATAAATCACATTAATAACATACTGCTGAATCCTCTTACTTATGAGAAAGTCTCAATTTAATATTTTTTAAAAATAGCATTATTGAAAGCTAATTGAAATAACTGCACATATTTAAAATATACCATTTAACAAATTTAAAAATTATATAGTTAGAACAATTTTATGTTCCTAACAAAATTGAGAGGAAGTAACCGAGATTTCCCGTATACTTCCTGCTCCTATGCATGCATAGCTTACGCCATTATCTATAAGACTCACCAGAATGGCACATTTTTTTTTACCAAGAATGAACCTATATTGACACATCATAATCACCCAAAGTCCATAGTTTACCTTGGTGTACACTCTTGGTGTACATTCTATAGGTTTGAACAAATGTGTAGTGACATATATCCATTAGTATATCATATTGAACGTTTCGCTGGCCTAATAATTCTCTGTACTCTGCCTATTTACCCCTTCTTCCCAATTCCTGGCAACCACAGATCTTTTTATTATTTCCAAAGTTTTGCCTTTTCTGGAATGTCATAGTTACAGTCATACAGTATGTAGCCTTTTCAGATTGACTTCTTTCACTTAGTAACATGTATTTAAGATCCCTCCATGTCTTTTCATGGCTTGATAGTTCATTTCTTTTTAACACTGAATATTATTCCATTCTCTGAATGTACTACAGTTTATTTATCCATTCATTTACTGAAGGACACCTTGGCTGCTTCCAAGTTTCGGCAATGAAAGCGACATCCATGTGCATATTTTTGTGTGGACATAAGTTCCAACTCCTCTGGGTAATTACCAAGGAGCACAGTTGCTAGATCACATGGTAGGAGCATTTTTAGTTTTGTAAGAAAACACCAAAGTGTCTGTACTATATTGCATTCCTACCAGCAATGTATGTGAGTTCCTGTTGCTCTGCATCCTCACCAGCATTTGGTATTGTCAGTGTTCTGGATTTTGGCCATTCCAAAAGATGTGTAGTGGCATCTCATTGTTGTTTTAATTTGCATTTCCCTGATGACATATGACATGGAGCAGAGTTTTATATACTTATTTGCCATCTGTATATCTTCTTTGGTGAGGTGTCTGTTAAGGTATTTGGTCCATTTTTTACTCAGGTTGGTTTTTTTTTTCTTATTACCAAATTTTAAGAGTTCTTTGCATATTTTGGATAACATTCCAATGTCAGATCTGTAAATATTTTCTCCCAGTTGTGACTCGTCTTCTAATTTTCTTGACTTTTTCTTTAGCAGAGCAAAAGTTTTTAATTTTAATAAAGCCCAGCTTATCAATTATTTCCTCCATGAACTGTGTCTTCAGTGTTATATCTAAAGACATCACCATAAAAAAGATGTCACCATACCCAAGGTCATCTAGGTTTTCTCCTATGTTATCTTCTAGGAGTTTTATAGTTTTTTATTTTACTTTTCAGTCTATGATCCAATTTAGCTAATTTTTGTGAAGAGTGTAAGGTCTATGTCTAGATTCATTTTTTTGCACGTGGATGTGCAGTTGTTCCAGCACCACTTTTTGAAAAGACTATCTTCCCTCCATTATGTTGCCTTTGATCCTTTGCCAAAGATCAATGGACTATATGTTCATCTATTTCTAGGCTCTCTATTTTGTTGCATTCATATTTTTTTCTATTCTTTCACCAATATCATACTGTTTTGATTACTGTAGCTTTAGTCAGATTACTATAGTCAATCTTAAAGTTGGATAGCATCAGTCCTCCAACTTTGTTTTTCTCCTTCAATATTGTGTTCACTCTTCTGAGTCTTCTGTTTTGCCATATAAACTTTAGAATAAATTTTTTGATATCTATAAAATAACTTGCTGGCATTTTGATTGGGATGGCACTGAATCTCTAGATAAGGTCAGGAAGAATTGACGTCTTGACAATGTTGAGTCTTTCTATCCATGATCATGGAATATCTCTCCTTTTGTTTAGTTCTTCTCCAATTTTTTTCTTTAGGGTTTTGTAGTTTTTCTCGTATGGATCTTGTATATATTTTGTTAGATTTATACCTAAGTATTTCGTTTTTGGGGGTGCTAATGTAGTTGGCATTGTGTTATTCATTTTAGGTTCCACTTGTTCATTTCTGGTATATAGGAAAACAATTAGCTTTTGTATATTAAACTTGTATCCTGCAAACTTGCTATAATCTCTAGTTAATTCTAGTAGTTTTTTGTCAATTCTTTTGGGTTTTCAATATAGATGATCATGTTATCTGTGAATAAAGATAGTTTTATGTCTTCCTTCCCAATCTGTATACCTTTTATTTCCTTCTCTTGCCTTATTAAATTAGCAGACTTCTAGTACAATATTGAAAAGGAGTGGTAAGAGGGGACATCCTTGCCTTGTACCTGTTGTGGGAAAAAAATTCGTTTCTCACCAAAATGGTTAATTTTTGAAATGTTTACATGTTAAGATGAAGTTTATCTTTCTCTGATTTCTACCCTCACCCTCCCATCTGTAAGTAAAACATTTTCTCATTGATTTTTGCCATCATTTATAGACACCACACTCCCACAACCCCAGCCTTTCCAATCATTCTTGCCATTGTATCTAGATGCTCATTTGCTTCTCAGGGCAGGAAATGTAATTCCAAGACATATCTGACTCCAGCAGAGGGAAAAGTAATCTTTATTTACAATCATGGATCTCAACATTTGCTGCACACTGAAATCACTTGGGGAATTTTTACAAGCACTGATGCCTGGGTTTCAGTGTTAGTGTGATGTGATTGATCTGTGTGCAGCCTGAGCACTTGGAGATTTACAAGCTCACTGAGTAATTCTAATGGACATCTAGGGTTGAGAACCACTGGTATTAACACTGTGCTTGTGTTCTTCACAGGCATATAAGCCAGATGCTTAATATTGTGGCAGTGGAAGCCCCTTCAAAAAGTTAAACTGCAAATAAGCCTGTCCTTCATAGTTTTATGCCATACAAGCCATAGCTTTAAAAATCATACCTCCTCTGATGCATACAAGCAATCTTTATGTTGTTGAATAAATTCACATCAAAGATTCAGGCCTATCTCTAATGGAATCCAAGGTCATATCATTCCTTCATATGGCTAACCTGGTTTAAGTCAAGCAGATTAAATAAAACCCCACAAGTAAATAAAATGTAACTGAATGAGGTCCTTAAAGTTTTTCATTTCTTTCTATCATTATGCTAATTTCACTTAACAAGGAAATTATCAGCCTTTCTTTCAAAAAGTCTTTATCAATTAAAATCTCAAGAAATGTTTCATAATCCCTGCTATATTTTAATGTATGCATTTTCAGTGAGCATGGATCTATCAAATTTTATTTGAAGAGATTTGTGTGGGGAAATGTAGAGTGAGAAAATACACCTCATTAAAAAAAGTAAAAATTGAGTGTTATTCATAGCTGTAGGTTTTATTATATTTATTTCAGTGAGGACATATTTAAAATTAAAATCAAGAAAGAAGTTTCATATCTGAATTTTTAATTTAAAAACAATTTTTTGAGACTGTTATTAAGATCAAGCTCTACTCTGATAATTAGGGTATGTTTGATAATCAGAAAAAAAGACAAGCGTGATCCTGGGGATGTGCCACCATAGTGTGCTTTGAGTCACAACTTCACATTTGTTTCACAGCTACAGGACAAGTTTGAGCATCTTAAAAGAGTCCAACAAGAGGAGACAATGAAACTTGAGGAGGAGAGAAGACAATTGGAAGAGGAAATAATAGATTTTTATAAAATGAAAGCTGCCTCTGAAACATTACAGACTCAGGTGTGCACCAATATAAAGAAAGACAAAGATCGTAAGAAATAGTCCTCTCTTATCATTCTTTATGTTGTAGTGCCCTATCACTCTCAATCCTATCTTCCTGTGAGATTGTCTTCACAGAACTTAACTCTGATTGATGTTTTACTAATTTTTAAAATTTGTTTGCTTATTGTATATTTTCCCCAACTAGAGTGTGAGCTCCTTGAGAGTAGGTACCTTGACCATGTTGTTGGGTGCTGTATCTTCAGTGTTTAGAACAAAGACCAGCACAGATTTGGCAATCAATAAATATTTACTAAAATGAAAAAAAGTCAAAAAATATGTAGCACAGTGTAAAAAGTGTTGGTTAGCTATGGGAATTCTTCTATCATAGCCCTGCCGGTGGCTCCAGTGCACAAGTATGATTTTTTTTCGTGTCTAAATAGAAGTAGATTTCTTGGGGACTCATAGGTGTAAAATGTTATGTTATAAAAACCTAATCCTTAGGCTCATTTTCCTTTCCAAATTCTACTGATAATGATCCTTGATAGTTTTTATTACAATAAAAGACTGATTTTTTAATTAGAACTCCTGTGCTTTGATGTTAGACTTTGTAAAACTAATATTAGAATAAAACCTTCAGAAGTTAGAGAGAACCAGAGAACAGTGGGAAACCATGAGGAACATTTGGATGATAATATTATGCCTATTTTGGGTATATGTTAAAACTAAAGTTATGAAAGTCTTAGAAAATAAGGTGGATTTTTTTGTCATTTCAAAAATTTCCTTCTGACTATATATCCTGAATTTTCTGTGTTTCTAATGTCAGTTCACCTATTTGTGTGGCTGACCTTCACCATGACTCACTCTATTAAAATGCTACATTTGGGGGCCGGCCTGGTGGCTTAGTGGTTAAGTTCACGCACTCTGCTTCGGCGGCCCAGAGTTCACAGGTTAGGATCCCGGGCATAGAGCTACGCACTGCTTATCAAGCCATGCTGTGGCAGGTGTCCCACATATAAAGTAGAGGAAGATGGGCACTGTTGTTAGCCCAGGGCCAATCTTCCTCAGCAAAAAAGAGGAGGATTGGCAACAGATGTTAGCTCAAGGCTAATCTTCCTCACACACACACACACAAATGCTACATTTGAGGATCTTTATATGTTTAGTCCAACTACATGTGGCATAGTGCATGGAGTTTTTCTCATGCTCCTTAAAAAAATGTTTTCTTCTGTTGTAATTTTATCACTGCATTCATTTCAAAGGCAGCATTTTTTCAGGATACCAGGATATTATAATTTAGCCTCAAAATATTGGTGAAAATACAATCTCTGCTCATAATACCTTTACTTTTTGAAAACGTTTATTTGAAAAATACGGGGAAAGGGAGGTACATTCACAATAATTTTTATATATATTATTAAATCACCTCACAGATTTTATTATTTGGGGGAAGAAAGACGTTTACAATATGAACTTTTGATGAAAACTCTAAAAGGACCAGGATCTTTGATTTGTTCACTTGTGTATCCATTCCTAGGCCTAGAACAGTGCCTACCCCATAGTGACAATTGTTCATTGAATAAATGAACACAATAATAGTATATTAGCTATATTACATGCATGGATAGTTTAATCTAGATCATTGACTTCAGAAGATAAACAATGTAACTTATCACTTATTTTAAATACGCTGGTGAATTTTACTGCTAAGAAAATTGATCTTCTCATTCTTACACCATAATCCTATGTTATTAAAGTTGGAGTCACCAATGTTGTTATATATATAAAAAACAATAACATTAATATTGTAAAAATTATCACTCTGTGGCATTTGAGAACAGAATTTTTAGGTAATAATGTGACAGTCCATAGTTTCTTTTAGAGATCAGAAGAATTCACCCTAAATGGGTGGTTTTTTTTAATTCCTTTTGCAAAGGTAAAGAACAAGTTATGATATAGTAGTACAAGATATACATTTGCTCTTTACATAATTGTTTTATAAAATAGTGTTTGTTTCCCATGTAGCTTTTAACTATAAAAATAAAATTGTTCTTTCTCTTTCAGATCCATTTTTATGTAAAACAGAGTTTCCAGATTTATGTAGCACAGAAAGTTTTAATAAGTCAGAGCTACTAAGGACTTATAAGTATACTTTGGTTTTCCTTGGTCTTTTTATTTGCTGGATTATTTATTTATTTGATATAATGTAAATTATATTTTTTAAAAATTTCAGTTTCCACTTGATCATTGCTAGTAATACACATTACAATAATTTTTGTACATTGATCTTGTATTGTGTAACCTTTCCAAAACTTGTTAAATTCACTAATAAGTTGTAATAGCTTTTTTGTAGATTTATTTGGATTTCCTAGGTATGTGATCATATAATCTCTGAATCAAAACAGTTTACTTCTTTTCCAAATTTTACGTATTTTATTTTATTTCATTGCATTCTTTAATTGACTAGGATTTCTAGTACAATGTTGAGTAAAAGCGATGAAAGGGGCATCACAACTTTGTTCTCAATTTTAGGAGGAAACAGATACAGTTTATTCTATCTTTTTTTCCAGATTTATTGAGATATAATTGACATAATTATGTAAGTTGAAAGTGTACACTGTGTTGATATGATACATATATAAACTGCAAAATGATTATCAACATAGCATTAGCTACCAAACTTTCTTCCTGTCACATAATTACCATTTCCTTTTTTTTTTTGCTTTTCCATTACATCGTTTATTTAGGGTTTTTTTTTATTTTTTATTTTTTTATTTTTTGTTTATTGCGGTAACATTGATTTATAACATTGTATAAATTTCAGGTGTACATCATTATACTTCTATCTCTGCATGGATTGCATCATGTTCTGATGTTCACCACCCAAATACTAATTACAATCCATCACCACACACATGTGCTGAATTATCCCTTTCGCCCTCATCCCTCCCCCCTTCCCCTCTGGTGATCACCAATCCAATCTCTGTCTCTATGTGTTTGTTTGTTGTTGTTATTATCTACTACTTAATGAGTGAGATCATACGGTATTTGACCTTCTTCCGCTGACTTATTTCACTTTGTATAATACCCTCAATGTCCATCCATGTTGTCACAAATGGCTGGATTTCATCGTTTCTTATGGCTGAGTAGTATTCCATTGTGTATATATACCACATCTTCTTTATCCATTCGTCCCTTGATGGGCACTTAGGTTGCTTCCAAGTCTTGGCAATTGTGAATAACGCTGCAATGAACACAGGGGTGCATGTATCTTTACACATTGGTGTTTTCACGTTCTTTGGATAAATACCCAGCAGTGGAATAGCTGGATCGTATGGTAGTTCTATCCTTAATTTTTTGAGGAATCTCCATACTGTTTTCCATAGTGGCTGCACCAGTTTGCACTCCCACCAGCAGTGTATGAGAGTTCCCTTATCTCCGCATCCTCTCCAACAATTGTTGTTTCCTGTCTTGTTAATTATAGCCATTCTGATGGGCATGAGGTGATATCTCATTGTAGTTTTGATTTGCATTTCCCTGACAGTTAATGATATTGAACATCTTTCCATGTGCCTGTTGGCCATCTGTATATCTTCCTTGGAGAAATGCCTGTTCAGATCTTTTGCCCATTTTTTAATTGGGTTATTAGTTTTTTTGAGGTTGAGATGTATGAGTTCTTTATATATTTTGGAGATTAACTCCTTATCAGATATATGGTTTGCAAATATCTTCTCCCAATAGTTAGGTTATCTTTTCATTTTGTTGATGGCTTCCTTTGCTGTGCAGAAGCTTTTTAGTTTGATGTAGTCCCATTTGCTTATTTTTTCTATTGTTTCCCTTGCCTGGTCAGATGTGGTGCTGAAAATATATTGCTGAGACTGATGTTGAAGAGCGCACTGCCTATGTTTTCTTCTAGAAGTTTCATGGTTTCAGGTCTTACCTTCGTCTTTAATCCATTTTGAGTTAATTTTTGTGTATGGGGTAAGATAATGGTCTACTTTCATTCTTTTGCAAGTAGCTGTCCAGTTTTCCCAACACCGTTTGTTGAAGAGACTTTCCTTCCTCCATAGTATGTTCTTGGCTCCCTTGTCAAAAATTAGCTGTCCTTAGATGTGTGGGTTTATTTCTGGGCTATCGATTCTGTTGCGTTGATCTGTGTGTCTGTTTTTGTGCCTGGACCATGCTGTTTTGGTTACTATAGCTTTGTAGTATATTTTGAAATCAGGGAGTGTGATACTTCCAACTTCATTCTTTTTTCTCAAGATTCCTTTGGCTATTCCGGGTCTTTTGTTATTCCATATAAATTTTAGGATTATTTGTTCTATTTCTGTGAAAAATGTTCTTGGGACTTTGATAGGGATTGCAATGAATCTATAGACTGCTTTAGGAATTATGGACATTTTAACTATGTTAATTCTTCCAATCCAAGTGTATGGAATATCTTTCCATTTCTTTTTGTCTTCTTCAACTTCTTTCAACAATGTTTTATAGTTTTCAGTGTAAAGATCTTTCACCTCTTTGGTTAGGTTTATTCCCAGGTATTTTATTCTTTTTGTTGCAATTGTAAATGGGATTGTATTCTTAATTTCTCTTTCTGCTACTTCCTTGTTAGTGTATAGAAACACAACTGATTTTTGTATGTTGATTTTGTAACCTGCAACTCTGCCATATTCATTTATTATCTCTAAAAGTTTTTTGGTGGATTCTTTAGGGTTTTCTAATAATTATATCAGACTTAAATGGATTAAATATACAAATCAGAAACAGATTGGCAGAGTGGATTAGAAACCATGATACAACAATATGCTGTCTTCAAAATCTTACTTCAAATACAACAATAGAGGCAAGCTGGAAGTAAAACCATGGAAAACATAAAATAAACAAAATAAATAAGTGAATTATGGTGCCAGTTATCAATGGATTGCCTCTGTAACACAACATCAACGTATTGCCCTTCATCGTTCTGCAATAATGGAACTGCACCCAGTAGGCATTTCTCTTTTGCACCTGGCATGAGTTAAGCTTTGTTAGAGAAGGTTTAGGACAAAGGGGCTTCCTTCCTGGTTCCAGGGTGCTTCCATTTTTTTCTTTTTCTGTCTCCTGCTGTACAACTAGCAGTGGCATATGTTGGGAATGTCTATAGGCAATGACCCCCAGTGGACTCAGTGGATCCCCCTGGATGGCTTCCTAGGGAGACTCAGTGGCACCTCCACAAGTAGAATCCCAGTGAATCCTGTAGTTGTCCCAGCCTCAGCCCACCTGCCCCTGGGAGGGC